CCGTGCCCAGCCTCCTCGTTTTTACTAACACTCTCCTTCTGTCCCATTCTAAGGTAGGAGATTCTAAAGTGTCATATCCCCGACTATGCCTTTCCTACCTTTCTTTCTATTTTTCTCATTAATTTCCTTTTTTTACAGTCTTTTTATTAAGGTAAAATATACATATGTAATGTACCATCTCTCTTGTCAAAAGAAATCTAAAAAGAGGGAAAGCTATTTTTAGTTTCTTGCACTAAATAATAATTTGAATATCCAGCCTCACTTTTATTTAGGGAAAAGTGTTACAAATAAAAGATAAGAAAAAATGTTCTGAACCATCAATAATTAAAGAAGTTAACGGTGACTAAATCGCTTTTTGCCAAGCATGCAGACTGAGGTATAAATGTGTCACCACCTCCTATAAGACACTCTTCCCTTCCTAGTATTGCTACAGCCAGTACCAGAAGGGGGTGGGAGGGGAGGTGCTGTTAGAGATTGGGCTTTTTTCAGAGTTTGAAAGAAAAAGAGAAACCCAGAATTCACAATTGAGAGCTTTAAAAAAGTGTAAAAACTATGATATCCGATTTCACGGCTCTCAAATTCTCAGAACATTGGTTTTGAACAGGATATATCTTTCTCCAAACTGCCATATGGGCCTTTGAGCTTGAGACATCTAATAATGAGAAAAATAAGGGAGAAAATACACCACATTCTCAGAGATTGTTTCTAATGGAAACCCAGTTTTGACAACCCTACCACCTGCTTTATATCATTAATCTGAGAGAGACTATGAATAGGAAGGGGGTAAGGAGACACATTGCTAATAAAATATTGAAGAACATCAGGAAGAGCCACGTCAGGCTTTTAGTTTACCCAGAAAAAGCATCTTCCTAAAGTATCACTTGACCAAGATTTACTGTATTAATAAAATCACCTTCAGATTATAAAGATAGAAAAAAATGCATGAAATGCAGACAGATAACCTATTTTTAAAATCTGGACTGAAAGGACAAAATGTTTTAGATGAAAGACAATGCTAAGCATCTTGCCCTTTGAGGTTGCAGTGTTTACTTTGACCTCATCATTTGCAGGTGATTGGTACTGAGTACTAATATCTCAAAATCATCTGAGATGTCCACATAATGTTGCATAAGATTTAGTATGCCTTGACACAAACAAACAAACAAGCAGGGACGACTACATAGTTAATGTGTGAACGCTATCTCCTCCACAATTATTGTTGCTAGAGGAGATGAATGATTGATTGCATGTGATGGAATTTACCATCTTTCAAATGTGCATTTTCCTCTTGAACACAGAAATAATGATGGTCCCAGAGAGCCATGCAGATTGCCCAATCTATCAGCATTTTTCTCCGTGTTTGACTTTTATTCCTCTGCATTTGATTGCTTCTGAAATAATGGTAGCAGAATTGAAAATGCTCTTTATATTCCCCAGATGATTTTCATTTGCAATAGATAAGCAAATGCAATTTTCCCTATTACACTAACCAGGAAAAGACACCCCCATACATTAGAGCATTCAATAAATACAGGGAAGGGGATTCCATTGGGTACGCTAGCCCACTCAAAAGACAGGGAAGTAAGAATGATGTGCAACTAAGCAAGCAAAGTCTGTTTCATCCACACATGCCTAGAAAGTGAGTAGACATCCTATCTATGCATTAAAAGTACATGTCAGCCTAATTCTGGGGCCTACTTTCTACATATAAATAATGGGATTAAGCACAAATCCTATGCAGTGATTTTTTACTAATTTAAAGTGACATGAGAAGCTTGAATTATCTATCATTTCAGTACATTTGAGTTAATAGCTCTGTCTGGCATTAGTTTCCCTACAATAGAACTTCTCTCCCTACCCTCCTTTTCGCTTCACCCGCATACCTCACCAGTCAGTTCTTGAACAATGGGAAATTGTTTTCTTTATGGCATTTACTACTTATCACTGACTGTGGAGGATTTTGCGGAGGAAAATTCTCAAGAGTTTTGCAAGAAAATGTGAGTTGTTGACCTCACTGATCTGCATAAACTCCCTCCTAAATCTCAAATATTTTGCTTTTGTTTCAGGTTATTTTCAATGAGAAAATAACAAGAAGGGAAAATGTTTCAAAAGTCCAACTTTCGGCTTCTTTTGCTTCAGATTTTGTTACTTTCTCTTTTTTTGGCAAGAAAAATTTAATTATGTAAAGTAGCGACAGCTCACCCAGATCTTGCACTGATCCACAGCACAGATAAGCAATTTTGAGGAAGTTAAATATTCAGTGAAGACGCCAATAATCCCTACCCCAGGAACAGCCCCAAAGAAAGATTATTCTTTGCATTGTGGATGCGCCTGTCATTTGCAGAGCTTTGCAAATACTCAAAACAGGCAGAGGCTTGGGGAAAAATAACGCTCAAAGGTGAAAATGTAAAATTTACATTGTTTCATGAATTGTACCATCATAATAAAGGTTTTTAACATTTTTCTTAGAAATTAAGAGAGAAGCTAGTCTTATGGTTTCAGGAGAAAATGCATAAGAAACAAATTTTATGTGATATGAAATCTCTACAAATTAAGCAATTTGGCTGAAAAATATCTGCATATATACAATGCAGCATTCTTTAGAAATAACAATTAATGCATTCTGAGGACATTTCTAACAAGGCTAGAAATCATTTCCCCAATTTTTTTATTCAACTCTTGCCAAACATAGTCTCAGGTTGGTACCTACAAGCACACTTCATCACATTATACTTGGACCATAAATTATTATTAGAAAAACTTCCTAACCTTGAAATTCAATCTGTTCTGTTTGGGTAATCTTGTAGGTTTTAGAAAATGCATCCACATCTAAACTTAAAAGAATAAAATTTTTAAAAAATCAATGAAGGTGTAATTAATAGTACACAATATAGGTAATACATGTACGTGTAAGTGAGATATTCAAAAATGTAATTTAAGCAATATCACTATAAATTTTATAATTTCAGATGTCCTTAGATATGTCTGAGAATAATAATCATGTATTTGCAGGATTCATGTCAGGCTCTTCCTACACAAATTTTTGAGACTGAGAGTTTGATGAAATTTTATGGACTGTGCTTGAACCATGTTTGCAAGGACTCAGACTTTCATGATAAACTCTGGCTCTGACTCGCTGCTTCCATGCACACTCTCCTTTCACTCCTTGCCATCTACTTCAGGCATCCTCTTGCCTCTGCTGTAAACTGAACTAGACACAGAACTCATTTTCTTTGCACTGATTTCCACCAACAAAACAGGCGCAATTTTACTGAAAGTTTGGGGACAGAGAAGTTCAGACAACTGAAAAGTGGTAAGATGTCCCGTTCTTCAAAGTGCCTTGGCAAGAAGCAGCCTTCTCTCACTTCGTGTCTTCTCTTCTGTCGTGGGTGCCTGCTCCTTCTAAATTCCCAGTCATTTCTCCCACAGACTGGTTTCACCTTCTTTTTTTTCCTTTCAGACTTGTACTTCCAATCTCCCTTCCCACCCTTGATGCTTAGGTGCTAGAAAAAAAAAGGAGTAGAGGCCATACTAACAACAGTCCTATGCCATTTCTCATACCACTTTGGAACATGCAAATTCCATAGGTGTCTATCTGCCTGGGAACCTGGGATAGAAATGGGCTTGTGGGATTAAAATTATTTAAAGTTTAAAAATGTGGCATTTGGACACTAACAATTATCAGGTTAATTGTTCTGAACACTAACAATTATCAGGTTAAATTCACTCATTTTGCAGAGATTTAACTAACCAGAATTCTCAGTGGCAAAACCAAGCCATGAACTCAGTTCTCCCAGCTTCCAAGTTCATGATTCCTTTCTATCATCTAATATTTTTACCTTGTGGTTTTTTTTTTTTAACTTCAAAGCACTTTCTTATAAATATCGTTTCCTCCTCTTATATTTCACACTCAGAACTTACTACAGAGGTTAAGTACACTGAACTTGGCTCTACTGTCAATGTTTTAAGAATTCTGACAGTTTTATTGACTAGATTTCTATAATGATAGGGGATTCATTTGTCCAGGAGAAACTACAGGTGGAGAAAATAATCCCCAAACTCTCTTTTTTCATGAAAGAATGTGCAAAGCCCAGACAGAACTGAGAAATGGAAAGGCTCCTGGGCCTAATGGAATGCTTACTGAGATCTATTGATTCTGATGCAGCACATTGATCAGCCATCTAACCCACACTCTGTAATGTCTAGCCAAAAGAAAAAGTATGGGAACAGATAAAAGATGTCAGGAATGTCACCAGCTGTGATCACAAGTTTCCAAAAGGGATTGTGACAGTTAGTGAAGCATCTCTTTAACGTTAGTCCCCAGGAATATACTGTCAAGTATTGGTCTCGGTAAGATCCAGGTGGCTTCTCAGATATTTTCACTTTAGAGTCACATGCAGTTTTAGTATCTAGGTGTGTTTAGATGTTTACATATTGTGAATCACTTACATTATTATTATTATGTATTGCCAACTGAAGAAAAGTAAAGAAATAGAGACTTTTAGAAAGTCCTTTACCATGATAAGTCTTTATTCCATCAGTTATCCAGGCTCCCAACTCTCTAAGGGGCTGAATAGATAAAATTTTAAGAAATAAAAATAAAAGAACAGCAGCATGATATCGGGTGTAGGCACATGAGCTTGAATTAGGCTGCCCCAGTGCAAATTCTCATTCTAAAATTAAATGGCAGTATCTGGGAAAGTCATATGACTTACTTGCCCCTCAGTTTCTTAAACTATACTATAGGGATAATTAATAGTACCTACCTTATAGGATTAAATCAATTTGTATTTTTTTTTTTTTTGAGATGGAGTCTTGCTCTGTCGCCCAGGCTGGGGTGCAGTGGCCAGATCTCAGCTCACTGCAAGCTCCGCCTCCCGGGTTCACGCCATTCTCCTGCCTCAGCCTCCCGAGTAGCTGGGACTACGGGTGCCCGCCACCTCGCCCAGCTAGTTTTTTGTATTTTTTATGTATTTTTAAGTATATAGAACAATGCCTGGCACCTAATAAGTGATATAAAATGTTTTTAATGAAATAATAATAATAACTGACACCCAGGCAGCTGGATTAACCTAGAGGCACATCAGACTTCCTTACTATTTCAATGTTTCCCAGCAGACAGGATCGCAGGGTAAATTGATTCAGACTGCCACCAGATAAAAAGATAAGGATAGGACATTTGGTTTGTCAAATCCAAAAAAGGTGTTTTAATATTATTAGAAAAGTCTTTACATCCTACTAATCTCCTCAAGCAAAACTGAAAACTAAAAAATGATTCATTTCTTTTGTCTAAAAATGGAAAATATGAGAACAATCAATCTCCTTTGTTAGTAGAGATATTTAACCTCAGGTTAGCTAACCTCTGCCACTCAGCAGGCTCCCCCAACCACCAATTATTGTCAATTCAGGAAGTGCAAACCAATTAACCTGAGCAAACAAGTATAAAAAGATAAGTCTCACAAAGGGAAAAACCATACAGTGTGCTCCCAAAATTATTCCCTTTGCAAACTGTAATCTTTATTGATTCTCTCATTCTCTTCTTCCTTAGTCAGGGTGGCTAATAAAAAGTTGACCATATATAATTTTTTCTATAAAGCTAAATGTTCCTGAAGGATGTGAGAAATAAAAGGAGCTAATATGACTACATTAAAATAGCAGTCAGAATAGTGTGCCACGGAAAGGGAATAAATTAAAAATGTTATGAGGAATGAAAAATAATTCAAGATTAAAACAAAAACCACTTACCCAACTAGAAGGGGAAAAAAATAACTACAATCAGGAACAGCTACCTAATTTGTGGGGACCAGTATAAAATGAACAGGCAGAGGTTCTTGTTCAAAACGTATTTTAAAAAATAAGATGGTAAGAGCAGAGCACTAAACCAAGTGTGGGGTCCCTCTAAGCGTGCACCTGCATAGGTCCTGTGCCCTGAAGCCCACCTTGCTATGAAGACATGAGCTTATAAGTATTATAAACTGAGAAAAGATCAAGATAAGCACATAAATTCAGATGCAAGTCTAGAAACACTTAAGGCACGAGAAAGGGAAACATTGGAAGACCTGAAAAAAGGGGTTAGATTAAGTGAATGTCAGAGAATAAAGGAAGAAGACTAGGAAATAAAGATGAAAACGTGAACAGATAAGAAAGGCCAAAGTGAAAAGACAAACCTAAGTCAATTCCGCCTGCAAAAAGCACAACAGTAAGGTGGGCCAAAAGAAGCAAGTCCATATTTGACCCTCCAAATCAAACAACAAACGTGTTGGTACCATGTGCCTTCATCCCAGGGAAATGATGATTCCAGCTACCAAGGAGCCTAATTAGAAGCAGCGGAAGAGGGACTGTGAAAAGGGCAATGACTAAGTGTTATATAAAAGTTCTTTCAAAGTCCTTTGAGTAGGAAAACATCTAAATGTGGGTCAACCTATTTTTTTCGAATAAAGAGAATGTCTGACAATTGAAACCATACTATCATAACTAGCTTTTCAAATGATAGAATAGATAGGGCACTTGAACACGAACAGACAAAATGATTCATTATGAAACATCGCTTTATGTTACACAAAAATCAGGAGTTAGATAGCTATTATATATGATGGTTAAAAAGGATTGCCAGCCACTATACGCAGCCAAGAAGAACAAAGAACACAGTCGCCAAGCAGTTAGTTCATGTTTTTATTGCGAACAATAATCAAAATAATCAACTACTGGTTGAAGTGCAGGCTTCGATATTTTTTTAAAAATCCAGTGTACACATGTGTATCAAATGAGTTGAGACATTCAAATCTATTACCTTGAAAAATTACACTTGTATCCCAATCAAGCTGCAATTGCTCAACACATTTTTAGACCTGTTCTTTCTACTTGGATAATTTTTAATCTGCAAGTGTTTGGAGCTGTTTGGTTTTTTTAAAAATAAAAATCTGGAGAGTAAGCTGGATCAAAAATTATAAAATTAAGAAAGGGTTTTTCTTTGTGATTCAAAACAGTTCTGAAAGTAAGATTTAAAAATACAGAATTAACAAAACGTTTAAAAGTGAAGACAGGATTATGGAGTGAGTAGATAGACTATCTTGCTCAACAGTCTCATAAATATATAAGTCTAAGAAATCAGAGAAATTTGGAACTGTAAACAACCTTAAAGACTATATAAACTAGCTATAGCTTCCTATTAAATGGATGAAGAAACTGAGGCCCCCAATAGGCGGAGATTTGCCTGAGGCTATACACCTGGTTCAACGAGAGGGAGGACTAGAATACAGTTCACATTTTTTCTCATCCAGTAGTCTTTCCACACCACTGGGAACATCTGCCAAAACCATATGACCTTCTAGAAAGTCATTGAGAACCACAGGTATCATCTACAAACATGCTGAATCGTTACCATTTCTGAAAGGCAAGTCAGTCAGTCCTGGTTGTCATGGCAATAACTCTTCACACTCACAGCCTGATGATTACAAATGTAAAATGCAGCCGACCCAGACAGGAATAAACCTTATTAAAACAACGTTCTAAAAATGGCACCGCTTACCTGGTTTGCCCATTCTGAGTTGCAGAATCTTGACTGCAGTTGTCATGTAAGCTCAATTCAGTCCAGACATCTATATTTAATAGTATTGAGAGATATTCTTTGTCTTGGGACTTTAGAAGGGAAGGAAAACAAAAGTGGTTGAGCATAACAACCAACATTAAGAAACTAAAATTTAAAAGGTTACTGTACATGCATTAGCATAATTACACACAAAAAAACCCTATAAATAAACAGTGATGTTCTTGTATTAAATCTACTCACTAGCAATTAGCGAAGCCTGGAGCCTCTTGCCTCTGTTTTCTTCTTTCTCTTAGTGTCCATTTGTTCCTGACAATGCTGTTCTTTTCCCATATGTGTGTTGTTGTGGCCGATTTTTTGTATGACAGCACTAATCCAGGTTCTGTGTCTACCATCACGCAGAATTCAAATTCAAAATAACAGAGTCTTAGTCCACTGTTTCCTAAGGAGATATTTTGCCCTCTACACTGCAATATGAAAAAAAAACAATGCCGATAACCAGCCACTAAACACGTGTTTTCTATTCTAACCTGAAAGTTTCATTCTGTAAGTTTCTACCCAGCTCCTCTCAGTGACAAGAGAAATTTTCAAGTCTAGTCCAGCCTAAAAACTGATCCCCCATAGAACAGAAGTGGGAATCCAATGAGACTCCTTAAGTAAATGCTGCAACCTAAGATTTAATCATGCAAACATTCCACAATACACATGAGTGATAGTTCAAAGATTTCAAACATTTATGCAATTCTGTGTCATGGAGTGGTTTTTACATACACTTTCTCTGGGCATGTCAGTGTCTAATAGCTGGGTATGCCTGGTTTGTGTTCTATATCCCTCATCAGCACTCAGAAGAGAACAGTCGATTACTCTCTGAAATCCAAGCTTTTCAAAACATTCAGTATGGACAGGAGTGACATACTGTTACCTTTCCCAAGTAAACCTTTCCTACTTCTCCTTCACCTATTCAATGTGCCTTCTGAAACTTCAGATCTGTGACCAACAAACCTACTCATATTTTCATGTTTTCTTTAAATGACCCTTTGCACTGTGCTTATCTAAAATTCTTCTCTGCAGCTGTCTCAGGGACAGAAAAGGAGCCGGTGTTCTTTTTGACCCACATAGCTGCTTCTAAACAGTTTATTCCTCCAAAAGCTTTCAAAACCCACAGCTCCTCTGAAGCTACGCTATCTTGCTATGCCACCCACCTTCTTGTGCTCTCCTCTATGGACTTCATTCATGTGCCCCTCCCACTTATTGAAGACATTGCTGACTCCCTGCATTTCTTCTACCCCTACACCATTTATCATTCCTTCAGACTTCAGCAACCACGTAATGTCTCATCAGAAACCTTGGTTTACCAGTTCTTCTATTTCACCTCCATATAGTTCTCTTCCACTTTAGCCAACCTTTCCTGTTGTTACAACTGACACCTTGTAAATGTCAGTAAATGAGTCACCACCAAAATTTCCATTTGAAACCTACCACTCTGATCCTTCTCTTCTTCTAGCTCACTCTAGAATGTTCATTCATTCAACTTCACTCTAACCTTCATCCCTGGCCTCACTACTTTTTCATTCCCATCCTGTTCATTTTCCTTCTTATTCAAACTAGATGTCAAGATCCATGACTATAATCATTCTCTCAAAAACACCCTCAACTTCCTCGTCATATTTCATTCCCTTGTATTTAACTGGGAACCTTTTTTTGTTCTCTTCTTCTTCTCTGCCTGCCACTCAGCAGCTGAATCTAAAGAATATCACACATTGGCTTCTTGGTTTCACCGTAACTTCATGATAACAGACCTAAAATGATCAGACACCAATCCCCAGCAACGTTAAAATTTTTCTCAAGTAAGTTCATTTTTCCCCTTCCAAGATGACCTTCCTTTCTCCTTAAACCTCCTCTCTATCCTCTCAGATGAGGATGCTGCCTCAGAGTCATTAAAAAAATAGAAACTACTAGATTAGAATTCCTTCATAGTGCAAATCAATTCTGCAAATGTTTTCTATTTGCAATTTTAAGTGTCTTTACACCTATCAAAAGAAATTGTTTCCACAGGTGCTTTTGCTCCAACCCTCTCACCTTCTCAAGAATTGCACAGCCTCAGCCATCTCCCCATGCCCTACCATCCACCCGTTCTCTCTGTGAGATCATTTCTGCATATATTTTCAGTATCTCCCATATATTTTTACATATATTTTTACTGTCTCCCACATATTTTCATGATCTTCCATCTTAAAAAAACAAAAACTCTCTTAACCTCATAGTCCCCAATCCAGCAAACACTTTCTTTTTCTCCTTCTTTCCTCAACAAAACTCCCTGAATGGATTGTCTACATCTGCTAGCTCTACTTTCTTATTTTCAAGTCACTTTTCAATCTATTAAGGTTGCCAACAACCTTTTGTTGCCAAATCCATGACCACTTTTTTTGTTCTTATTACACGTATTTCTTCAGCAGCATCCTTGGGTGGTCACATTCATTCCTGCACTTTTAAATATCATCTATGATAACAAATTTCAAATTTATACCTAGATCAAAGTCCAGACTTTACCACCACCTACTTGCAAACTCCTCTTGAATGTGTAATAGGCATCTCATAAGACAAAAACATAGCTCTTCCCCCAAGTCTTTCCCAACTCAGGAAACGGAACCACAGTCCACTGAATTATTCAAGCCAAAATCAATGACTCTTTCTTTCCCCATTCTTTCTAAGCCATCAACAAGTCCTACAGATCCAAAATGCATCTCAAGTCACTTCACTGCTCTCCATCTGTACAGTTACCATATTCCAGGCACGGTCTCTTTCCAGGACTCCTTCCACAGTCTCTGAATTGGTTTTCTGTTTCATATCACTCCCACAACACCAATTACTCATTCCCCATAAAATAGTCAGATATTTAAAAAGATAAGTTAGATTGCATTATCCCTTGCTTAAAATCCTTCAATGTTATCCTGTTTCTCTCAGAATAAAACCAAGTTTCTAACCATGGGTTTGTGCCCTATTCAACCTCACTCTGCACAACACTCCCCTCATTCACAATAGTGCGAGAACATGGTCTTCCTTCCTGTGTATTGTTTGAACACACCAAATTTTTTTCTTCCTCTAGGCCTTTGCATGTGCTGATCTTTCTATTTGAAATGCTTTCTCTACCTCCTCTCCTCTTACCCCCATTTCACTTGACTGACATTCTCATTCTCAATGTTTGGCAAAGACGTCACCTCCTCGGAGAAGTCTTCACTAACCTCCCTCTAGAGTAGCCTCCCACAGATACTGTCTATCTCATTATGTTTATTTTTCCTAAACTCTAATTACAGTCCATAGTCCACAGTTACCTTGTTTATATATGTGCTTACTTTTTCATTGTCTTGTCTTTCTTATTATACTTGAAGTCCACTGATGACAGGGACTCTGACTGTCTTGATCACTGATGAATCTTCTGCACCTAATGCATTAACACATTGTAGAAATTCACTAAAGATCTGCTGAATAAATGAAGAAATTTGTTTCTGGTACATTTTGCCTATAATATATACACTGAGGATATTTGAGAAATAATTGAAGATATGGCTTAAATTTTCCACATACTTCATTTTCAAAATTATGCATTGCCTTTGGTGTTAAAGTTTTAGGTTTAAAAATAGTTGTGTTCTTGTTTATTATTGGTATGGCTTTTTTAATTTATTTTTAAAAAACAAAAATTGTAGCCGGGCACGGTGGCTCAAGCCTGTAATCCCAGCACTTTGGGAGGCTGAGACGGGCGGATCACAAGGTCAGGAGATCGAGACCATTCCTGGCTAACACGGTGAAACCCCGTCTCTACTAAAAAATACAAAAAACTAGCCGGGCGAGGTGGCGGGCGCCTGTGGTCCCAGCTACTCCGGAGGCTGAGGCAGGAGAATGGCGTAAACCCGGGAGGCGGAGCTTGCAGTGAGCTGAGATCCGGCCACTGCACTCCAGCCTGGGCGACAGAGCCAGACTCAGTCTCAAAAAAAAAAAAAAATTGTATACATTTATGGTGTACAACATGTTTTGAAATATGAATACATTGTGGAATGGCTAAACCTAGCTAATTAACATATGTGTTAGCTCGTATACTTACTTTTTTGTGGTGAGAACACTTCAATTCTACTCTTTTAGTGATTTTCAAGCATGCAGTATGTTATTAACTATAGTTGTAGTATTGTTAATAGCATCTTTATTTAGCCTGTTATTTGCTTGGAATGTTTGGATGTTTTTACTGCCTAGATTCAAACAAGCATATGGTAACGAAAGCGGGTTACAACATATAAACATAATAATATTAACAGCTACCATTCTGAGAGCTTACTATATGCCAAGCACTGTTCTAAATCTCATGTATACTAAACTAAAGCATGATTATTATGCCTGCTTAATGGGTGAGGAAATCAGACATACCTTCTGATTTGAAGTGGTCACAAGTAAGGGAACATTTTATAATCCTCTTCATTAGGACTCAGTAGTATTAATTGTTGGGAATGACTGAAAAAAAAAACAATACAAGCATCTTTTTTGGGGGGATCACACATGCTGAAAAGGCTTTCCATAATCTTTCTTTGAAAAGATTTCTTACTGATATAATAAAACACATAGTATTTTCAAACCAATAAAACCAAATGCTTAAATCAAATATTTAAACATTCATTTATATGCATTTTACATCTCTCTGTAGAGTAAAAGAAAGCATCCTTTGACCAGAGGCTTTCCTCCCGTTTCCCCTGGGTCCAATATCATGCCAGCCCATTTCACAGATAATAGAGCTGGGATGGTTAGCAGCAGCTAATATAGTATTGATTAGTTTATGACACTACACATCGAATATTTACTCTAATAAATGATTCTCCTGACTCCCTCTGAGTCTCTAGCTGGAGACAGTTGTAGCTGCCAGTGGAGTTGGAATTAGACGACCTCTTCATTGCCTTTCCTTTACATGGATACTGGAAAAGCAGGTTTCCATTTTCAAGAGTTACAATGGAGAATGTAGGCTATGATGAGAATAGAATCAAACTAAAGATTATTTATAAGTAATTACATTTTCTGCTTTGTTTCATGAAACATATACCGTATGTTTTCATATTAATGGATTTTTACATTTTGAAAGAAAAATTATTTGTATATGTTTAATCTCAAATGGTCTTAAAACTTGTGATTCTAAAAAATAAGCTTGAAGGGCTAATAAATTAACTCTATATCATAATATAAAATCATTTATAATGATTTTTATTATAAATGATTGTGAGGGGAAAGGAAGAATGAATTTTGAATATTTTTAACAGAGACTGTCAAAATGTATCTGGGTTCTGCAAAGGAGGGCTGGATCTTGGCAAAGGAGCAGCATATCAATAACCACACACCTCGTCCTAGAGCATGCCTCTTACCATCCTCAACCCTTATTCACATGTTCCTGAAGCATCACTGTATTGGCTCTTCACATGCACCATTATAGGTCTTCTTAGCCCACCCACCCCACACTTCAGCCCCTGCTACAGCAACCAGTTCTGCACAGGCTCCTACCACCTTCCCAAAATGTAATCTGACAACCCTGCCCCTTGGCCTATGCTTTTTATCCCAGGACTTTTCTGAATCTGATCATCACTCAGGTGTGCTCTACCTTGTAGGGAGCACAGTTAATGCCTATGGGGTTTCCACTGGCCATTGGGGAATGGAAGATAATGGATAAATGCTTCCACTCTGGTCCCCAAGCTGGACAGTTCTGAAATACATTTAATTTTGATAGGCTCCTCGGATGATCCCAGGAGGATCCAGCTCCAGTCAACCCACAGCAGTAGCCAACTTGACAGCTCATCCTTATTTTGGCTTCCCTAGCTCTGCTATGCCCCTAGCCCTTCACCCCTGGCCCCTGCAATTAGTCCCCAAATAAACTTGCATGCAAGACTTGTCTTAAGCTCTGTTTTCAAAGGAAATCAGGCTAAGACATTTTCTTTCATGTAAAAAAATTTTAGGTTGGACAAAACATTATGTTATTCTACTGATAAGTTATTTTAAACATTTCATATTTATAATTAATAAATATATTATGAAGCAAAATGCACATTTTACATTTACTGGTCTCTTAAAATACAAAACTTTAAAGAAATTTCACACTTTCAGTGGCCAACACAGGAATGTTTTCTCAGAAACCAGTGGTTACCACAGTAGATGCAGAGTAGGTCCCTCAGATGCACAAACATATGCCGGTGCTCTCAGCGTCTAGGGGCCAATTTGTACATACCTGTCAAAATCGTGCTGCCTGAGGGCTTTTCTCTGAAGCTTCTGAAAGCCTGAACTGCCTGAGCAAATAGTAGGCCAGAAGTTTCTGGAATTAACCCCTCTGGAGCAACCTTCAACCAATGACTGATAGGAGTAAGGAATTTATACTCAGCTCAATAGATAGATGATAAGATAGGGAAATAGGTAGGTAGGTAGGTAGGTAGGTAGGTAGGTAGATAGATAGATAGATAGATAGATAGATAGATAAATAGATGGATAATAGATAATAGATTGAAAAATAGATGATAGGTAATAGAGATAGATTGATAGATAATAGATGATAGACAATATACTGATAGATAATAGATGATACATAATAGATTGAAAGACAGATGATAAATGGATAATAGATTAAATAGATGATACATGATAGATTTAAAGACAGATAGTAGATAATAGATAGATGATAGATAGAAGATAGATGGCTAGATAATAGATAGATCAATGATAGATAGAGACATAGGTATATAGATGTATATATTTCTCATTCCCCAGGAGGGATAACTCTGAAGTGTGTATTCTACACCATTTCCCAATGTCTCCCTGGTATTAAGTGATAATGGCCATTAGTAGTAACTGGTTTGATGATGTACCTTCTATTGTCTGCCTTCCCTTTCCCATCTCACTTCCTTATTTCCCTTCTGGCGTTTCATACATTTCTCAAATAAGTTATTTTGTACTAAGAGCCTGTCTGAAAGTCTGTTTCCATGGGCACCCAAATGGAAACAATTTTGTTGGTACCAAAATCTGTAAAGCATTGCCCCAGGTCATACACAACGAGAATATTCTTCTTTATAAAATAGGCTCTGCACTTTTACCCACTGGTGTCACCCAGTTTACATGAGATCTAAAAATGAGAAATCAAACACTAATTCACAAATGGATGTGTGAGAAGAAATTCAGTGTGTATATCTATTCTTAAAATATGTGTGCCTCAGTGCCTTTGAGGCTTAGGGTTAAGTTGGGGTAAGGTTTTTCATTGGTTTGGGTTTTTTGATTTTTGATGACTTAGTGGTAAATTTCATTCACGCACCTAACAAACTGCTTGTTTCAAAAATATTTTTACCAAAATAATGTGAACTCTGTTTTCTTCATTGTAGAATAAAGAATAGCTAAATTGATTTCAACTACTTTCTCAATCTTTTCATGATAGTCTCTTCAAATGGCAAACTGCTGTGTGAGGCATTTATTTTTAACATTCCAATATCATAGTGTGTTGCTTAAGATCTCAACCCTCACCCTCCTCCACAGACATATCATTTTTCTAAAAGATAAAATTTAATCAAGAAATTTGCCCAGAGGAAGGAGATGGAGGAGATAGCTCACCTAAGTTTATGCCTGCCCAAAGTGAAAAGACATATATAGTGTCCTCCTTGGATATTGTCACATTAAATTTGCTTTTAATGAGTTCCTTCTCATTGCCAGTATATAGACAGCATTATTCTTTGAAAGTCTTTCCATCGTCATCCGATGTCCACAGACTTCCCCAATTCTAAGAATAAAGAGCCCACAGGAAGCAGCAAGAACAGGAAGGGAGAGATGCCAAAAGTGTAGGTCTTCCAAAAGATCTTATCCAATTCCAGTGATTTTATACAAACTTAGATGTTGAGATGGGGTGGAAAAATAAGAAGAAAAAGTTACCATTACTCATTGGAGAGATGGGACTATCATATGGCTGCTTTGGGTAAATCTCTAGGAGAGATATTTACAAATATTTTCTGGCCTCTTTCTATATATTAAGTATTGTACTAGCTCCTGAGAAATCAATATTAAATAATGTATATTTATTTAAGAAATTATTTCATAATTTACAGAAAAACCAAATCCCAGATTTCACTAGAGTATTATAAAAGCGGCCACTGAGGGCTTCATTTTGGTGCTACAAGAGCTCAAAGAGGCCTCTCAAGGAGCTTGGGGATTCAAGTGTATCCCCACCTTGCCTTTATGGAAAAATTCACTCTCCTGCCGCCAATTCCTCAAAAACATAGCAATATAAGAGAGGTTTTTTTCATTCTTTATCAACATAATTGATAACTGGAATTTATACAATGTGCTTGCAATATTAATAGAACATTTAACAAGAGAAAGTAGTATCAGGTAATATAACCCCATTGCCCTTACTGGATATTCTTACCTTAAAGTGTGAAATTTGATTCATCTACCCTAGCAACAACTACTTTTTTGTACAGACAGCTACACAAGTATCTCAGAAATATTAGTGAGAATAGTGTGCTTTTATGTTCTGCTACTCCTCTGACCCCATTTCACTGAAATTCTGTTCAACTTCCTCTCTCCACCCCCACTCCCCCACTGGCTTGCAGTCTCTCCCTTTAATTCACAGGACTCTGAAGGCACAGAGGCTAAGCCGTGACGTTTCACAGACTCCCTGCCTGGTACTGTGGGGCCAATTTAGCACCATTGGATCGCATCACTGACTATACCAGCCACAGTACCAGGCACCAGAGAGAAAGAAATGAATCTTCTATCTCATGATCTAGACAGAGAGAGACACTTTAAGATATGTGTTTTTTTCCACAGTGTGAGGACTGTGTCATAATGGAGGCATGTGAAAGACACCATAAGAGGAATGTGGCCCAGAAGCAGAGGGCAGAGAGGATGATGGACATTTCCTGCCAGAGGTGAGACACAAGCTGAGGCTTTAAAAAGGAATTGAAGTCAGCTGTGCATAGAAGGGGTGAGGGAATCAGTGATGCGCTGTGTTCCTTTCTTTCTGTAAAGGCTCCCCAAGAACATTAGATGAAAGGTGACACAGAAATGGAACACAACTCAAGCAATGAAGGTCAGGACTCTCTGCAATCCCATGAACCAAAGAGTTCGTGGGAACATTGTGAATAGCAGAGGTGAAGGTGAGGCCCACACCTGCTAGGACTGATAGTTCAAACAAATCCCTCTACTCAGCTCTACCTGGGTTTTACCACTTGCAGAAAAAGCAAAGGTCCTGAGAAGTTTATAAACCTCTTAAGAAATGAAGTTCCAGCTATCAACATAATTTACTAATTCCACAAAGGTCAGCAAGAGAGAATTTATACAAATACAGTATTCAGCATTTTACCTTATTAAAAACTGAAAGGTAGCCTGCTATGCATAAATAGGCTTAGTTTACCCACAATTAAGGGAGGAACTTGATCCACAGATATGTACACATATTTGAGAGGACACTGAAATGCTTGGTAATTTTTAAAACGTACATA